AGCAGCTGGCCATGTATAGAAACATCACCATAGTTTAACAAAAATTTTATTCTATAATATTCTCTTAAATTTGCCTATTTCATGTTGTCTTTTAAGAAATGTTCTTCACTGGAATGGGAAAATAAGAGCCACACAATACATAGTCTGTTCTTGCAAATAGTATTTGAATTAATTTTTTTATGATCAAGAAATAATATACTAGACTTCCTGCTCATTTTTCAATACACAGAAAATATACATAGTAAAGAATATCTTTAAAAACTTCATTCTAAATTTCTTGCATCACAATAGATGGCTCTATTTAAACCTATATCTCAATTTTTCTGGCAATGCTGCTTTTATTTGGAACAAAATGTGGCTTAGCTTCTCTCTACTTCTTATACATTATATTTAAGGGTAATATTGAAAAAGAAATATTCAATTTCATTATCACTACACATAAATAAAATTTTACCATTTCCTAAAAGACACTTTGTAATATCTAATTCTATATCCCATATAAGTTAGTACTTTCCTCCAGAATATTTTATAAATTATAAACTTTAATACCTATTCTTGACTTTTTTTTTAATATAGAATATAGAATGTCAGTATTGCTAATTAGTTTACTATAGAATTTCTGGTTTTGTCAACTTTTGTTATTTGTAACAATTTGGAATGAAATATCAGGGTAAAATAAAAATAATGTTAAGTTGCATTATATTACAACATATTTCAATGTAGATTATTGAAGTAAATACATTGGTTAAATAATTTTTATGTAGCTTACATTTCTCATAAAGGCAATTTATAATATTTCTCAAAGCATTAAACAAAACAAAGCTTCCTCAGATATACAGAATTATATTTGCACAGTGGTTTCCATGCATTTGGGATTTAATTCTTTGTTTCCAAGGCACTATTTCTGGATGTGGCATGTTAATAAACAAATGCTTTGTAACAAAAACCAAACAAGCAAAAACATAACCCTTACTTCATTAGTAAATATTCAACAAGATACACCTAATCCTAAATAATTAAGATGCCTCTCATTTCAAAACAAAAACAAAATAAATATTTAACCATAAAATTTAAAATCTTGTTCATCAGTTAGCCCACTGTCTTCATTCTAAAGATGTTAAGTAAATACCTCAAACTTATGTAACTATCTGTGGCAGAGTCAGAATAAGGCCCCCAAGTTTAATTTACTTTTGCTTTTTATTATTCCATTCCTGAACTTCTTAAGAAAGAATTATAAAAATTTTAGAATTCAATCACCTATTAGAAAGGAGAACTTTATATTATATATTAACCTACAATGAAGGAAGTGATTACAATGCTAAAAACTAATATTCATCTAAGATAGCAAAGCAATGTCATTTACCTTAAATTTACGTCTCTGCTCTGCACAGCTGTTGAAGAACCACAAGTCTGTCTCATGGCTGTAAATGTAACAAGAACAATAATGCGACCAACTTTCATATCTAAACTAAATTAAGTAGATTTGTCATAGGCTAGAAAATTGAAAATGTATTTTACAAAATTTAAAAAAAATTTACAGATTATGGAAGTGTGCATGTGGGCATTTGTGTATGTGTGTGTGTGTTTGTGTATGTGTATGTGTAGTGTGGTGTGGTGTGTAACTTACTCTTTCTAAATTGAAAATAAGTTTCATGAAATTGAAAAAACTAAGCGTTATTCTTTTTGGTTAACTTTCCTCATTATGGAGCACTATGACTATATTAAGACTAGGAAGTTCTGGGAGTAGATTTAAATAAAACAAATTTAAGTAAGAAGTTGTCTTTGGCTGTTATTGTTAGGATATTTTTCTGGGATACATAGTAAGAAAGTAAAGCAGAAACATCTGGTAATGCTTAAGTTAATATTGGCTCCCATTTGCATCACAATCTTTATATATTATTCATCAATATACCATCAATCAGTGTACCTACTGATTGCACCTATTCAATTGATGTTTCATGTAATGAGTAGAATACATAAACATATTTCAAATACATATATTCAGATATCCATACATGAAAGTGAAATCACTACTACAATTGGCACTCAAGCTTGTCAGATGTGATGTTTTGTCTTTCCATTTTGCATTAGACATGCTAATATCTATGCCATCTGTAGCACAAAATTCTGAACAAATGTAAATGAAAAAATAATAGTAGATAAATACTGGTCTACGAAAAATAGACTCTGTACCATGTCACACTTCAAATCTGGCCACGACTTCATAACATAGAAAATAAACTCAGGTGAATGTTAATGAGCAACTGATATTGTTCTTGTGACTTAAGCCATCAAAACAGGTTTTTAATTATGTATTTTCTTTCAAACTTGATAAAAACTAAACTTTAAAATAAAAATATAAAGTGTCTCTCTTAATTCTCTAAAGATGTTATGCCTGATATATTAAGAAACATCATAATCTATTAATACCAAAACCTTGCCTTGCAAGTAGAGATTTTGAAGTATTTTTAATTACCCTTTGAAAATGTAAAAATAATACACTAACTCTAATATGAAAGTTTGGTTAAACACTTGATTAAGTAGAAAAATCTCTAAATTTTGAGAGAATTATATAAGAAAACATTTAAAATGTTAATTTCATATTAAATTATTGAAAATTTTAATGAAAACATTCTCTCCTTTTTAAAACATAAGTGGCATATAATGCAAATCATGCTAAATAATATCTGAAGATACAAGGATAAGCATTACCTAATATTCCTGTTTGACAACAGATGTGTAAGCTAGTATAAAATGCTGTTAAGCTTTTATTAGATTTTTAATACAATCCCAGCATGTCTCCAGTTGCTAAACTTATCAAGTCCTATGGAATACTTAAAAAGAAGGGTCACATTATATTAACTGCAGTGTATATTTTGGTGAACAAATAAGTCTCATTCATTATTTCTAAATTCTCATTCATAAAAACCAACTTCTCATTCCTATGGTATTTTGGCATGAGATCCCATTAAAATTACAAAATAATACTGAAATGCTAGTTTTACAGCCTAAACAATGGAGATAAATTCAGATTAATATGCATCACAAAATGAAAAACAAGTGACACAGTGAAAGTCTTTGTAGTCATGGTCAGCAACTGCAATCGTTAAAAGGTATTTAAATAGTTTTAATCATCCTTTTATGCTAAAATAACAAAACTGGAGACTTGTGCTCAAAATTTTACTTATGCATTGAGAAACAAACAACAATTTCTTATTTTAGAGCCATTAATATTCCCACATTCTATTGTGGGTATTTTGTAAGAAAAAAGTATGTATATTTTAGCCCAAGTATCAAATCTTGCCTTTCAATGCAACAACAACAACAAGGAAAAAAAATAGGAAAACTGAAGCAAGGCCATTCTTTCCAGAGATACCCTGGTAACCAGCAATATAGAAATTTCTACTGGACTTAGCTTTGGAGAGGAAGGAGCAACTGTAACTTCCTCTATTTTGTCAAGAAATATGGTAAAATAGAATTAGAATAATAATAGTGTTTTTTAGATATTCAAAACAGTAACTTCATTCCTACATTTTGCTTATGTTGCCAACATCTAATTCTCCTTTTCTATTCCAACAGGAAAGCAAAATTCCCGCTCTGAAGCCATAGTGAGGATAAACATTTCATTTGCTATCTTCTGTGACTTCTATGTAAATTTTTCTGTCATGTAAATGCATGAAGAGACTCTCATGGAATCATATAACTCCATGGAAGTACTATACCTAACTCCCATTACAAATTGGGGAAGGATAGGATGGTGAGCAAAGTGACACAGAATTATTCATTAGTTAAAACAAAAATATGTGAAATTGCTTTTAAAAGAAAAAAAATTTGGAAAGAATCTTAAAATTCAGGCTGATTAAATAAAACTTTCCTTTCCAGTCATGGCAGACATCTGTACTCTGTTGAAACATCCCTTATCCCCAAGTCCCTCTTCTTCTCACCCACCCTCCACAAATGACTTTGTTCCCAGGAAAATCTATTCTTATATGAAATTTGTTTAGGGATAATACACTTTATCCAGTTTTGAGGTAAGAACTAATTTTGGGATTGTATAGATCAGCAGTTTATAATTCTCTCATACAAACTAAGCTTCAGAAGGACATCATGTAAGATTAACATCTGTGAATACACCTGAAAATAAAAGCAGACATCTGGGCCATAAAAAATTGTTTTTTGTTCAAATAAAGCAACAAGAGATGTTAAAAAACTAAACTAAATTTGCCTTATTAGACATGTACATAACACATGATTCAGAAAAAAGCATTACTTATCTTTCAATAGAGCTGGTAAACACTTTGAGAGATGTTTTATGTAATTCCAGAATTTATCTTCCAAACAGTCAAAAATTATACCTTAAAAATGTCCCCCCCCGAAAATGTCCTATAGATTTTGATTAAGAAGATTATATAAAACAAGGGTAATATTATATAACAAAAGTTACTTTAAAAGACATACATACTATCAGTTTCACAGGACAAACATAGTGAGTAAGGACAACAAACTCCAGAATGTGTTTTTATAACTGTAGCAACAGCAATAACTCCTTGGCAAACTCAAACAGTTTTTTTGGCAATCCTCGAGGTTTTCTGCATTTCTCACTTGGATACAACTACAGAAGGGTTGCCTAGGACTTCTTTGTTTCCTTCCATACCATTTGACTATAACTTTGCTTTTAAGAAAAAAATTTCACATTTTAACCTATGTATGAATAAAATCCCACAAGGGAGTTTAATGCAAAATTCTCTATGCCTATGTACAGCAAATATGGTTCCTAAATACTTTTTCAAGGAGTTACCTTGGAAACTTTTGAAAACTATGCCAATAGAAAATTATTTTTTTCTCTTTTCAGAAGATAAAATGAATCCTCTTTATGAATTAAAATTACCTAATATGCAAATGTAATAATTTCCTGTATATATACAACTGGGTCTGCACATTTGTTATCGTCATGAACTTCTTTTAAAATAAGACCCTAAGGACAGGAGTGCTTTACTAACCTGCAGTGGTCTCTGTTTATCACTGCTCTTAGGAGATTTCAATCCACTTGTTTGCTGCTGTAAAAGAAGTTGTCTTGCTGCTTGGAGAGCCTAGAAGTAAAAAGGAAACCATATCTAAATATTTTGTTGAAAGTTAACTTATCAATTATCTCTTGGTTAATAGTAAAAGACTTCAATGTACAAGAACCCCCATATTCCTTTCTAGAGAGAATCATTATTGACAAAAAAAATTGCCAAACACACATATGTAACTTTACTCAAAATCACAGAGAAACATGCGATTCTGCAGGAAATAAATTTAATTTGTTTAAAGTGCTTAAAGAGGATAAAAATCATAAACTGCATCAATAACCTCATTTCCACAAGGAACTTGTATTTGAGTGTTCAACTGAAATGCCCACTCCCTTTTAAATTATCATTCAATTTGCATTTTCATATTACAATTTTGAGGCAAAAGCAGTAGACTTCAAGTGTTACCGGAAGCTGTAATTAAATTTGACAAATCAACATCAGATTATCTTGAAAGTGAATTAATAAGGATTTTCACTAAGGATTAAAAACACTTTTTTTGTACTTACAATTCAAGGGGAAACCTCTCCTTTGACAAAATAAAGTGCAGTTTTAATGCCAAATAAAATTGAGTGGTTTTCATTTGCATTCTTAGCAAAATCAGAGAACAAAGAAATTACCACTCAACCAATCAGGTTTGTTTCTATGTGTGACAGAATACCAATCAAAATAGAAGATGTTTTCATTTATTTTTATGTTTTCTTTCCCACTTAGGAAAGTAAAACTTAACATAAGAAATTAATGTAAGTGTTTAATTTACTGGAGGAGGAACAATTCAGTAAATGTACTATATAAACTTAACATATAAAAGCTAGTGCCATAGAACAAAGTGCATAGTAAATTCTAAAGGTAAGAGTATAAACTAATTAAAAAAACTTTTAAGAGCCTCTTAAGAAATTCATTTATTCTCCCAATAACTAAGTTCAATGAACACTAATGATGAAATTTTTCAACACATAAAAGTAAACTAAATCATTGGCCTACTATGTTATTTACTACTTTTGAATACAAGATAAATTTTTCACAATGGGAAAACATTATTAGATTAATATTCTTGTATAATACTTAAGAATTTCAGCTGATAAAAGTACAATTTTGATTGTAATCAATGATCTGGTTTTTAAGAGAGTTTCTAGTATCCATGACAACAGTTGCTTTGACAAGATGTGCATATGGCATTACACTGCCAGCTGGTGTGAACAATGTTTGAACTACTGCATTGAGATGCTGAGCAAACAGAAAAAGTTGCCACGTCTTAACCCTCAGGGAAGGCAGTCATCCCCTGATCAATTATGAAAAGACAGAGAGGGCTGCTACAGTCTGGCTCCAAGCAAGTTTTCTGAGAAGGCAGGCAGACATAGAAACCAAAGTAAACAAACTGAATGCACTAGCACCATCTCCTAACAACACAGATTTGTCTTCCCATAGCAGGATCTGGCATAGTTTGTAAAGCACACTTTTTACAGTTAGAGACACACTCACTCACAATAATCATCTTTGTGGTTATTTTTTAAACTTTTCAAGTAATTGCAAATTAACCTAAATATATCTAAGGATGGCACATTCCAGCGAACTCAGGTAATTTAAGAGATCAGTTTGAAAAAACAAATTCCATAATTACTTTATTATCACAAGACTGACTGTTTGAAAATTTTCATTCAATATTCTAAATAATATATCTTTCCTTTTAATTGTAACATAAAATAACTACAAATGATGTTTTTCCAAATGGAAATTACTATAGATGTCCTAGGCTGTGTCTCTGAAATTCTCAAAATATAAAATGCATTTGATTATTTTTCCAGTTGATGCCAAAATCTGCAAATTTTGTCTAATGGTTTTCATGTATTTTTTTTTCCTTTTTGAGTTGATTAGTTTATTTTGTATATCTGTTGCCTTAATTTACATTAAATTATATAGTTATCTATTACTCTTAAAAAATACTAGTGAACACAGTTTAGGATCTTAGAATCATGGATGACAAAGATTAATCTTGAAAATCATCTAATCTGAGCTCCTCATTCTAGCAAATGAGAAAAGTGAAACCTAGAATAGCCAATTGTTTTGTTCGAGATCACAAAGCAATTTATGAATGCTTTGTTCAAGGTCTCCCGGCTTCCAGGCCTGAGTGCATTCCAGTGTGCCATATTGTCTCTGTTCCATCAGAGGAATCATTAGTAGGCAATGAGTAAGATTATAGTAAAGAAGATATATGACGTTATAATGAATTATTCTTCAGCAGTAAAGAGCATATCCATTTTTCAGACTTTACAAGGGAAACAACAATACAATCTTTTTGTTTTAAATCTGAAAATGAATAGAACAACTATCACAGAACATATATTATTTTTATAACCACTGCCCCCAATATTCTTAACTTGAATTTCACTATATATTAATACTTCTATGATTCCTCATAGAACGCTACACTTTTGTAACATCCTGATTATCTGACCAATTATTAGTATAGAATTGCAAAATTCTAGAGCTGGACAAGGCCTTAGAAACACCTAGCCCAACTTTCTCATTTTGTAAACAAGTAACTGGAGAATCAGTACTAGGATAAGTTGACTGAAGCCACAAAGCAGTAGAGCCTGGTCAAAAACTCTGGCTCTTCTCTCCAAAGCTTAAGGCCCCATCCATTTTATTGCCCTGCATTATATTCATTCAACGCAACCCAAGTAATCAATGGAATATGTCAATGCTATGTAATGTCTGTAGAAAAACACTAGAAAATTAAATATATTAGAATTTTTGCTCATCAAAGTATCTCCAATCAAAGGCATACACCTATACTGTTAATAAAGGAGTAGTAATAGTAATGAAACATCAGAAGATAGCCGGCTAAAACATGCTTCTACTTTTAAAGTATTTTGATTTTCATATGTATTTATAATTATCTCCAAAATAGCTGAGGATCATCTTTTAATACAAACTCTTATGAAAAATAACTTCTTGCCTATTTCAACATTCTTTTGGTAGAATAGAAATTGCTACAGTAAACATAGGAGACAGGAGAACAAAAAATAATTCCAGGAGATGAGGAATGATTTAAAACTTATAAGCAGAAATCTCTGGCAGTTTGCATTCTCACTGCATGCATCATATGACATTTTTATTTCCAGTATTCTGGATAACACTTTAGGACTGAATTTCAATAAACAATTGCTCAGAGACATTTAGTTCATCTTTGCAATTTACTATTATAGCTACTCAAGAAATGAAAGATTATTAGCTAAAACACTCCCATCAATATAAAGTGTTAAGTGTCAAATGATATAAAATATTAATCTAAAAATCACTTGCCACTTCGTCAATACAAACAAAAGATTAATCCAAGGCCATTCATAAAGTTCTCTGAGCCATCTTGTCATTTATATGGTCACCCTCCCCCGAAAAATATTAATTTAGAACAAAGGCAAAGGTTGTTTACAAAATTTCCTTTCATAATATCTGAGTCTCATTCCAATGTATCAGAAACAAGAAAGAGATTTGAAGGCAGCCAAACCATATCTGGTTTCCAAAACCACATTTGTTTTTAATTAGGGGTGCAAGTTACTTAATGAAGTTATCTAATTTTATGAAAGCTAAAGAAAATTAAGATAAGACTTCTTAAAATTTGCAATCAGGTTAAATAAAAAATTTGAAAAAAGAAATAATCTTTATAAGACACTATAGGTAAACATTTTGTTAGGCTGCAGAGATGTGAGAATGCACATTTTTCATAATTGAGTGCATTTTGCTCATTGTAAACATCATTCCTGTTACTGTAAAATTTTAACTATTTTTTGTAAGAAAAGCAAAGTTGAAGCATACTTCTTCACTAGTAGTAATTTTGTGCTAGTTATGAACTTCACAAAATAATTCTAATGAGTAGATCATGGTGATAATTAACTAAGGATGAAAATGCTTTTTTACCAGTCAGATAAATACTTTTTTCTCCTGAAGAACACTGAAAACTTTCAAGAAACATAAAATTATTTGAGAATAGTTTAGAAATACCCAGTAAAACCAAAAACATTGAGTATGCTAAGGTTTATAAATAACTTTTTTTTTCAAAGTAAATATATGTATATTTGGGGAAAAAACAGACATCAGTCATATCTCTCCCCATAAAAATAGGAATGCTTAACCTATCAGCCTGTTGCATTTGAGACATTAAAATGAAAAATGACATCTACGCCCATTAATATCTTCAATGTATAAACAGCACAGCGTGACACATTCTTGAGAGCTGAAGGCTACAAAATCTCTCTGAAACATAAATAACAAAGCACTCAGAAGCATATTTGATGTTGATATTCATCTCTGAGAAAAACACTGTTGCCTAGGCTTCTTATGAAAATAGATGCAGCCCAAATGGATCTCCTGTAATTGGTTTCAGATAGCGAGGTCAGAAGAAATATGATACAAGAAACGATTATGTGGAACAGGCGAAACAAGAATGTTTACACAGTCACTCCCTAGTTATACTGACGAGGGGTGTATACTTGCAGATAACCAGAACCAAAAAAAAATTACCAGCAGGACATCCAGATTTTTGCTCCTCATATTCATATAGTTTACCCATTAACACATTATGTCTTCAGCATGTTACTTTGGACACGAAACATAAAATAAGTTTTCAAACAGAGTTTAATTTTCTAATTATTTTCCTAAGTGTAGTTGATAAAAAGTATATTCAGATCCTTCCAGAAAGGATATAAATTTTTATTATGCTTGGTCTTTCTTCATATTATGTTCCCACTAAAGAGAATATACTGATAAATGTAATCTGAAGTCTCATAATGTTATTTAATAGGAGAAAATTAATCATCTAATTGGCATAATCTATTTTCAAATAGCAATCAGAGTGAAATTATGCATCTGTAGCTATTGACTTATTTTTTCACGCCTGATACATAATTAGATTGTTAAAAAAGCTAAATATTAAAAAATATTTTTAAAATAATATTTTTATAGTATATTTCACATAAAGTTAGAAAATTAATGTGTGGATATATTTACATTGTTCATCACTA